ACACACACACGTGCACATGCACACACACACACACACACACACACGTGTGCACATGCACACACACACATACATGCACACACACACACACACACAAACACAAACACACACACACACACACACGCATGCACACACACACGCATGCACACACACACACACAAACACACACACACACACACACACACACACACACACACACACACACACACACACACACACACACACACACACGTACGCACGCATTTCTCCAATTGCCGCCACCAAACAGCCACCACCCTCCTCCCCCGCCCATCTTACTCACGCCTCCCGTCTTCTCGTGTGTCGCCGCTGGCAGAGTTTCACAAGTCTTGCATCACGCCGTGGTTGCGTGAGCGCCGGCGGGTGTGTCCATTATGCAAGCGCGATCCTCTGTCCTCAGAGCGTACGTCGCTGCTCGGGCACTCAAACCCGCCCACATATGCAACCAGCGCTGTTGATGTGGAGAACGACGCGGCTCTAACAACAACAGCAGCGGCAACAGCGGCACCAACACCAGCAACAGCAGCAGCACAGCAGCCGCATGGTGTGGACGCAGATGAGGAGGAGGAGGAGGAGGAGGAGGAGGAGGATCCAAGCGTGGACACGTCTGAGCGCGCACAGTTGTTGCCAGCATCCCGGTGATGTCAAATGTATGTGACTGGCGATTCGCACTCCTCCACAATTGACCATGCAAGACAATGTGCCACTCCCATTACATTTCACGGCGTGTCTGTGATGCACGCTTGCTGCTCATGCTCCTACGTGCTACTTCTAGGGCGCGTGCACCTCATCAGTAGCCCACTCCAAATGTGTCCAGAGTGCTTGTCGCTTTTGAAGTGTTTGTTGTACGCGAATGCGCGCGTTGCCTGGTTTTATGCATTTGGTGAGACGTTGTTTCGACCTTTGTTGTGTGCCGATATGCTTTGCGTTTGTGCATCGCCTTTCACTTGCATGCTGCAACGGCGGCACCAGCAGCAATAGCCCTTGGTCAAACGACACATACACACACACACACACACACACACACACACACACACACACACACACACACACACACACACACCACTCTTAACTTGCTCCATTATGGTTTTGTTACCCTGGTTTTTCTACCACCCTTTCCTTCCGTTCGCAGCAACAGACAAAGACAATATAAATGCACACACCGTCATGTCATGTCATCACATCACATCAACATCACATCACTCACTTCATCTCAAATCCATGGGGTGAACAGGAGAAGAGCAGAGAGAAGGGCATGCAGCTCGCTTGTTTGCTTGTTGCTCATTTCCTTCCTGCACTTGATCTTGCTTGGTTGTGTCTTGCTTGCTCATTTGCTTCTTGCTTGCTTGTGTTTATCGAATCACGACTGCTAGTTCGTTCAGTGGACAACACCATCATGAGTGCACACACATTTCGTGCGAGCCAGCAGGTCGACGACGACGATGATGGTGATGGGACAACTAGAATCCGCGGCGCTAATGCAAAGGAGTGGAACGTAACTGACAATGATATGACATGACAAAGGAACACCACCACACGGCCAAGTCAGGCGATACAATGGGCCACAACACGTGCGCAGTGTGGGTGAAGATGGAGGGAAGAGAAGGCAACAGAAGAGGAGGAGACACAATGTGGTGTTGATGTGACGTGGTGACCATGTACTCGACTGAGCAGAGGAACAAACAAAAGTTTCACTAGCAGTGTGGGGAACGGCACAAGATGAAGTCAACCACACATCACACGTCGTCACATGTGCAAAGACCCCTCATCACACGATTCGAACAAACACACGCGCGTGTAACGGCGGATGTGCAAGATGCAAGTGCACAACAGCAAAGCGAGAAAATGATTGAAACACGCGAGGAGGGAAGAGGGCAAGGGAGAAGGGGGAAGGGGGAAGGGAGCGCAATTATGCCGACTGAGGCAGGGAGGGGGGTGTCACGATAACGCGGTGAGCAGGATACAGGCGCATGTCGAATAAATGCCGAACAGGGAGGAACGAGCGAAGCATGACGCAATAAGAAGCGGTAGGAGAGGGCGAGGCTCACAAACAGGGGAACAGGCGAATAATAAATGGACACATCTCTAGGCAAAGGTGGACCACATACGTAAACACAACACGATGGAAGTAGTCCACGGCAGCTAACAAAACACTTTGAAGTAAGCACAACAAGACACACACACACACACGCTGAAGTGTTGAGAAGCACAAGGAGCAACAGCAGCAGCAACAACGGGGGACTGGGAACGAGGGGCACAGGTGGCATGGGGCCGCACACACTGTCCACATAGACGAACCGAGAAAGGGGCAGTTGAGGAGAGAAGAGGAAGGGAAAGAGGAAGAGGAGCAGGGAAGACAGAAGGAAAGGAAAAAAACGAAGAGGGGGGGGGGGGAGAGGAGGGGGACGGCAGGGAAAGTTGCCTCTTCGAGCATGTGCACGCCTGCAGTGACAGCAGCGGCACTACTATCGGCAGCAATGCTGGCAGTTCCGGTCAGTACACGATGTATGCGTGCAACTGGAGGGACAACACATGTGCGTGCGCTGGCCGGCATCACTAGGCTGACGGGTCAGCTTTGTACTGCGCGTCTTGCTCGCGACGACGCGCCTCCTTATCAAGCTGCTTCCGAATCACTGTGCACGCACATGTGTGTGTATGGATGTGTGAGATGTGTGTAGTGTAAGGTGTGTGGATGTGTGGGATGTTGGGTGCGTACATATGCGAGCGTTTGTGTGTTGATGTAGGCACCAACACCGGAACGACAGAACTGGACAAGCAACACAGCGTAGCAAGGCAGTTTTGTGTGTGCGTGTGTGTGTGTGTGTGTGTGTGTGTGTGTGTGTGTGTGTGTGTGTGTGTGTGTGTGTGTGTGTGTGTGTGTGTGTGTGTGTGCAGGCGAGGGGTTGGAACATACTTTGAAGCACGAGTTCAGGTGCTGCGCGCGTCACAGCGAGGCTTCGACACCGTGTGCACTTCTCATCTGTTGGAGCGATCGTGGAGGGTGGCGGGTAGAAGTGCGGTCTGCGTGAGCGTGTACAAACTGAGGAAGGGGAAACGCCACGAGATGACGCACCGCACACAGCACGCACAACACAGGTGCATGTGACACGCAGACACAGACGCAGACACATATACAGACACACACGTGCGCACATTGGGGCTTCTCGTAGGCGTAGTCCTCCTTTGTGCAGCTGTAGTTCTTATCGCAGCCGCGAGGCATTACTTGCAACTCTGTGGAAGGTGTGAGCGCACATAAGTGTGTGTGTGAGTGTGAAAGTGACGGGGAGCTACAACATTCATGAACTGCGCGACACCAACAACGTGCCAGGAGACAAGGGAAGAGGCAGACACACGCAGACAGACAAACAAACAAACAAAAACAAAGAACAAGGCTGACAAACACACATGACAAACAAACAAACAAACAAACAAACAAACGAAAACAAAGAAACAAAAGTAAACACACCCACACACACACACACACACCGTGAATGAAGCGGTCTGCGTCAACAAGGACAGATGCGTCAAGCGTGTGCTCGCGCTTGAGATACTTCTTGATGTCGTTGTACACGCCACTGAACACCACGAAGGTGGTGGTGGTGGTGGAGAAGGTGTGAGCACAGTGAGCAAGCAAGCACAAATAACGAGTTAGCACACACACACACACACACACACACACACACACACACACACACACACACACACACACAAGCAGAGCATAGCGGCACGTGCCGGTGCACAAGATTGCACTGCAACGCCAAACAAGTTCGTTCACGACAACACTCGCGTTCGAACCCTCCCCCCTCCTCAAGCTCGCTTCTCCTTCCGACATGAGCAGTGCTGTGTTGGACGTACTTGTAGCAGAGGCCGCAGATGCGGGCCTCAGTGTCGCGGCCGGGCCCACCGCACACGGGGCAAGTCACCTTTGGCTTCTTGGTTGCCTTGGCGTCATCACTCAGGTGGCTGCCGCTGCTGCTGTTGCGCTGCGCCCGCAATCGCTGCAGATCAGACCACCCGCGCATCGCAAACGCGTCAGCAGCAGAGGACGACTGCGACTCCTGCTGGACGGACGCGGCAAAGTTGTACGTGGTGCGGGTGCCTTCAGCATGCCGCAGCAGGGACTGTTGCTGCCGCAGGAGCAGCTCCTGTTGCGGTTGCTGTTGCGGTTGCTGTTGCTGTTGTGGTTGTGATGAAGCAGAGAGGGTGTTCTCCCAGGGAAGATTGGAGCTGTCGAACATCATGTCCTGCACATCCCGGTTGATGCCCATCCCGAGCGTCTCCGTATCCGTCCACCGCGCCCCGCGAAGGTGCCGCGGGTCCCCACCTGGCCGACCAGACCCAAGCTGCTGGTGCTGCTGGTGCTGCTGGTGTTGCAAGTCTGCCATGACACTGCTGCTGCCGCCACCGCCAATGCTGTGTGCGTCTGGCGGCTGAGGTGGCGTGCCTGTGTCATTCAGGCCAACAAGATCCGCCATGTCAAAGTCGCCAAAGTCTGACAGGGCCACCGGGTGAAACGAGTCCGTGAGCGTGGTGTCTGGCATTGCGGGGAGCTCCAACTGGCTGGCAGGTGGTCGGCGCGTCCCAAACAGACTCGACAGCTGTCCGCCACCGCCACTTGCTGGTGCAGCGCTCACGTCGGGTGCGGCCACGTGTTGGTTGTGGTTCCTGAGCCGCAACTCAGGGCGAGACATGCGACCAGGGTACTGCTGGTGCTGCTGGTGGTGGTGGTGGTGGTGGTGGTGATGCTGTGGGTCGGCGGCTGAGCGGGCAGGGTGGTTGCCGCTGCTTGTGGGTGGGACGGGTGCTGTTGTGGACATGCCAGACACGGCGGCGTTGAACACGCTGGATAGCGATGAGGAGGGCGCTGCCATGGAAGCGGACGACGTTGTGCCGGCTAGTGCAGGTGCCGTGCCGACGAGAGACGACGACGACGACGATGATGATGCCTGCTGTTTCTGCTGGTTCTGTTGCTGCTGCTGCTGCTGCTGTTGTTGTTGCATGACGGTGAACATGGCCTTGAGCGCGTCGGCTGGGGTGTTGTGAAGGCGGCGCTGTGCGTCCTGTTGCAGGGTGGACACCGACATGCGACGCTGTTGGCCACAGACATGCTCCAGCACATGTTCACAGGCGTGCTGCAGCAGCGGCAGGCCTGCACGTGGCAGCAGGCCGGCGAGCCACATGTTCAGGACGCACTTGACCATCTCCAGTTGCGAATCGCGCTCGTCATCGGCCTGCTGTGGTTGCTGCTGATGCGACTGCCGCGACTGTTGCGGTTGGTGTTGGTGCCGGGGTTGTTGCAGTGGCGTTGGCATGCGAGCATGCGCCGCTGAGGACGATGACGCGTCGCGATTGCCGTCGCCAGTCCCACCACCAGTGTTGGTGTCACCGCCATTGCTGCTGCTTCCGCCACCGCCACCACCACCACCACTATCGCCTTGACTCGACGGTGTAAACCACTGTTGCCATATGCCCTGTATGGACATGGACGCGAGCTCATCAAAGGGGTCCGAGGGCCGCTTTATGGCGGCGGCGGCGGTGGTGGAGGTGGTGGTGCTGCTGGATCTGCGTGCCGCGGGGTTTCCACCGAGCTGTCCCCTGAACGCCTCAAGAAGCGCTGCGGAGGCGGACGGCGCGGGCTGTTCCGCTCGGGCGTGGCACGTGTCTTGGGGCGAGCGGGGCATGTCATCTGTATGCGCGATGCGAGCCGCGCGCGTGTTTGCCCATTGGGGCTGATGGCGGTATGGAAGTTGTTGTTGGTTTTGATGGCCGCGCACGGATGTGGAGTGCTGTTGCTGTGGGTGTTGTTGTGGGTGTGGCTGTTGCTGTGGGCTGTCGAGCCGAAACGATGATCCTGGACTGAGCCCGCCTGCGATTGCGGCCAAGTTTGCGAGGCTGGTATTGCTGCTCACGCGGGAGACGGGTGTGGTGTGGGTGTGGCGAGCAGAGCCGTTGGGGTTGGCTGGCAAAGATGAGGTTGATGCGGGGGTGCTTGGGCCAACGGCTGGCGTGTGCACCTGGCTCGAATTGCTGCTGCTGCTGACCTTACTGGCGCCTCGGGCGAGAGCCGCTGTTGGGGAGAGGCCGTGCTGGTCGATCACGCGTTGTGGGCTCGGGCGAAGCCCACCCGGCCTCCCGCTGTTGGCAATGTTGTTGGCAATGTTGTTGGCATTGCTGTTGGTGCTGTGGTTGCTGGCGCCCTGGGCGGACGTGTCTGGAATTGACAGTGGGGTGGAAGCATTGGAAGCCATACCCCTTGCCCGCACAAGTTGTTCCAGGCGGTCCAGTTCCTGCAGCTGGCGTTGTTCAACTTCCAGCTGCTGCTGTTGTTGCAAGGTCAACGACGACGTTGATGTCGAGGACGACTGCTGCTGCTGCTGCTGTTGTTGTTGTTGTTGTTGTTGTTGTTGTTGTTGTTGCTGCTGCTGCTGCTGCTGCTGTTGTTGTTGTTGTTGTTGTTGTTGTTGTTGTTGTTGTTGTTGTTGTTGTTGTTGCTGCTGCTGCTGCTGCTGCTGCTGTTGTTGTTGTTGTTGTTGTTGTTGTTGTTGTTGTTGTTGTTGTTGGCTGGTGCAATCAGGAGGTGGCACAGAGGGAGCGCGGTGAGGCACGGCCGTTGGGGAGTCGGTTGTGGGTGGGGAGGATGTGAAGGGGTCGTTTAGTGCATCTGCATGCTCCATTAGCTTGTGCATGCTTCTGTCACGCATCCACTACACCGCAACACCGCAAACAAACAAACAAACAAACAAACAAACAAACAAGCACAACACCACACGGGGCGGGCAGGAAAGTCAGGTCGTGGGGGCTGTGGTTGGTCGGTTGGTCGGTTGGGGGGGGGGGAGGAGGAGTGACAAAGGGGTGGGTGGTAAAGGATGGTTGTTGCTTGATGTCGGGTTGGCTCAGTCGGGAGACACAATCGGAAGCGGCTGTTGAAATCACGTGGCGTGGGGGTCACGCTCACCGCACCACTGCTGGAAATTCAGGGGCGGTGATGATGATGATGATGATGATGATGCTGACGCTGATAGATGTGTGCGGAGACACGAGGGTGCGCAAACAGGAAACGAAGAAGGAGACGCAGAAGACAAAGACGAAGCCGCAGTTGACTGAACGTGAGGGGAATACGTCTTTGGGGAGTTGCAAGGCTTTGGGTGTGTGAGGTCAACCGGGCGAACCAGAGGTCAACCAAAAACAGGGGCTTGCTGCCTTTGGAGCAAACAAGCCAGAACGACCAGAGAACGCAAGGTCAGGTGCAGTTTGTGGAAATTGACGCGGTGATGTGATGTGAGACAGTGTTGTGGAGGAAGAAGGTTTGTGGCTTCTGTGTGCTTCTTCTTCTTGTGCTTTTTGGTCGTCGCTGGTCTGTTTGGTTGGGTTGTTGTGTGATTGTGGTGTTGTTGTTGTGAGATGTGACGTCTTTCTCATTTGTTGAGTGCGCTTGCGCTTGTTCGTCTGCTCGTACAAGGAGAAAGATGATGGGAAGCCCCACAACCGAAGGCGCGGGAACGAAAAAACCACCAAACCAGCCAGGCAGCCAACGAACGTGCAGCGGCAACGCCAGGCCACTCAACCACCAGCAGCAGCGGCCAAAGCCCCAAAACATCCGCAATCCACTCGCCCGTCTGTCCCGCAAAACGCCACAAAACGCCTGTCTTCCGCTTTTTTGGCAATGATTTCAACGAAAATTGCCAGTAGCGAATGACGCTCGCACCTTCCTTTTGTCACTCAGCTATATTTTTCAGTTTTTTTATTCTTGGCAGAATGCACCACATGGGACGGGCCCATTTCGGCGCGGTTTTTGGCGGGAACAGCACAAACACGACAACACACCCAAGACAGCAAGCAGCAAGAGAGCAGACACACCAAGCAGTGGCGAGAGTGGAGTTGATAACTGTATTGTTTTGAGTGGTGGTGGTGCGCTTGAGCTGCAGCAAGCAAAGCTAAGCCATCCCTCCTTGACTTCAGTGTTGATGCCAGCACGCACACACCCTGTCCAACCCACGAACACACGACACACACACGCACAACGATGCCTGCGGCAACACGCGGGCGCCAGTCAAGGCGACGCACTGGTGCGACTGCCCATGATAATGATGCCGGTGACAGCAACAGCCACAACAGCAGCAGCAGCAGCGCCGTGTCCACCCCAGTTCCCGCGCCCAGCAGCGGCAGTGGGCGGCCATCTCGGCGCGCAAAGCGGGCTGCGGCCGAGCGCCTGAGCACCGCAGCCTCGTCATCGCCTGGCTCAGCCTCCTCCGGCACAGCAACAACGCCAGCCGCAGCCAAGCGCGGCACAAAGGCCGTGCGCGCCTCACCACGCACGCCGCAGTCCACACAGCGCGGCCGTAACAAACCGCGCGCGCGCCATCAGCGCCGCGCCGTCAGCCGGCGCCACAACTCCGATGGTGAGGACGACGACGACGACGACGACGACGACGACGTCGAGCAGCTGCACCACGAAGAGGAAGGCGATCAAGGCGCGGAGGATGACGCAGCCGCCACAGAGGGGTCAGAGTACGAGCAGAGCGACAACGACGACCATGGCGATGATGATGATGATGATGACGATGATGACGACTTTGAGGAGGGGGGACCAAGTCCAAAGCGCGCCAAATCAAAGAAGAAAGGCAAACAAGCTCAAAGCAAGAAGCAGCGCGCCTCCAGCAAGCAGAGCAACGCCGCCACCACTTCCTCGGTAGGCACGTGCACGCGCGTGCGTGCGGGTGTGTGTGTATGTGCTTGTGTGTGCTTGTGTGTGCTTGTGTGTGCTTGTGTGTGATTTTGTGTTGGAGCTCGTGCCGCTGTGACCTCTTGTGTGTAGCCTGACGACAACGATTTGTGCGCGCCGCGATGTACAGAACTATCTGATGAAAGGTGTGAAAGGCACAGCCAACACGCTGAAACGGGCACTTGACAAGTGGGTCAACCACTACGACGAAGTCGACCGCGAGCAGGCCATTTGCCATCTTCTCACCTGTATTCTCAACTGCTGCGGCAACCAAGGTCAGTGTGGCGCGCGGTGATGTTGAGTGCATGGGCGCATGCTTTGCGCGCTTCTGACCAATTTCCTGTTGTCTGAATGTCGCGTGTGCAATCTCCATACCATGTACCACGCTCACTGGCGCGAATTCGCACTGTACCATGCTGGTCACCTTTGCATATGTGCACGTATGAACACGACAAACGCATAACCACATGGCACATGTCGAACGCATTCTTGCATCCGTCGTTATGTGCACGAGCAGGCGCCATTGACGAGAACAACTTGAGCGATCTCAGGGCGGCGTATGTGGACCTCGTTGCTCAGTTCCCAGAGAACATGGGCCAGTACCCACTCAAGCAGTCCAGTGGAAAGTTCAAGGTCTGTGTCTTGTTTGTGTCTTGTCTGCATGTTGTCTGGATGGTGTGCGGGTATGTATTGTCTTGCATCATAATCGTTCCTGCATTGTTTACTCACACACACACACACACACACACACACACACACACACACACACACACACACACACACACACACACACACGTGTACTCTATTTGCAGACGCAGGCTATTCGATTCCTGCAGGGCGTGATTGACCGCGTGCGAAGTGATATTCTGTTTGATGACAACTTCACGGACACGCTCATCAACTTTTTGACCTTGCTTTCAACCGCGCAAGTGCGCGCGTTCCGCCACACCGCCGTCTTCTTCGGTATTTCGCGGTTGAGACTCGTGGTGGTGGCGGTGGTGGTCTTGCCACTTGCACTTGCGCGCACACACACACACACACACACACACACACACACACACACACACACACACACACACACACACACACACACACACACACGCACGCACGCACACACACACACGTGAAGGGTGAAAGGGGTACGGTTGGTGTGGATTTGAATACCAATGTACGTGGATTCGAACACAAACGTGCAGCACACACTCGAATATCTCAACCGCAACATGAACCCACATGCTCACTCTTTCATTCATGGCCAACACAGGCATGAAGCTTGGCACGCTGTTGATTCCCTTGGCCTTGGACTTGGCAAAAGATGTGGAAGACACACAGGTACAACCATCCTACACTGCACACACACACACACACGCGCGCGCGCGCACACACACACACACACACACACACAGCCACACACATACTGGTCCTCCTTCTGTGCAACTGGTTTTCTGTGTGCGTGTTTATGTGTGTGTGTGATGCTTGGGTGGGTTCGTGATGCTCACACTTATTGTTGGTGTTGTTGCCAGGCGACGTTTGACCAGCTGAAGGCAGACTCTGCGACACCAACGAAGAAGAAGGGAAAGAAGGCAGGAAAGCGTACAACGGCTGAGGCAAAGAAGCTGGAAGAGGTGGAGGACGCAATGTCGCAAGCATCCATGCGCAAGGAACGCGTGGATGAGATTCTCACCCTCATCTTTGAAGGCATTGCCATCCATCGCTACAGGTCAGAATTCTGTGTGTGCGTGCGTGTGTGCTTCTCTGTGTTGCGCCTGTGCGTGTGGATGGATGTGTCTATGTGCGTGTGTGCGTGCCTGTGTGCGGATGGATGGGTGGGTGGGACAAGGGGTGCCAGCATGCATATGTCTGGTGATTGTGTTTGTATTTACACTGTCCGCGTGATCGTACTCCTTATGTGTGAGCTTCTGTGTTTTGTTTTGGTGCATGATCTCATGCGTGCTGTGAGTTGATCCAGCTAGTCGAAGCCACATCGACTTTCCTCACCTTACACACATGCGCACATCTCCTGTATTGCGGAACGAGCAGGGACGTGAGTGCAGACATTCGTGTCGTCGTGATGGAAGAATTGGGGACATGGGTCACCGAATACAGGTACGCGTGTGCATCTATATGCACGTGTGTGCATGTACACACACACACACACACACGCACACACACACACACACGAACACATGGGCTTGGATACCCTGCATACCCTTCAGCATACTCTCCCCCATTCGTTCATGCGAGTGTCATCTTAACCGCAGCACTGCTGTGCTTCTTGTTCGCCACCACCACCAATGCCACCGCCGCCTTTGTTTGTTCACCATGGCTGTCTCCCCTTTGCTCGCATGTGTTTGTAGCGAGATGTTTCTTGACGACAAGTACCTCAAGTACTTTGGCTGGGAACTCAACGATCGCAGTGCGGATGTGCGCGTCAGCGTTGTTGACACACTCACGCGTCTCTTTGCAAACGAGGAGATGAACCAGCGCCTCGACCTCTTCTACTCAAAGTTCAAGGTGCGTGCTGTGTGCGCGTGTGTGCTTGTGTACGTCGAGGTGTATGTATGCATGCATATGCGTGTGTGCGTGAGTCGTTGGTCTTGATGGTGCTTGACCGTGAAACATGTACAATGGTCACTCTGCTTCTGCAATCACACACACATACACACACACACACACACACACACACACACACACACACACACACACACACACACACACACACACACACACACCCTTCCTCCATCACGCGCGACGCCTTCCTTGCGCAGAATCGGTTGCTGTTCATGCTACAAGATACGAGCGACACGGTGGTTTCGCGCATCATCTCGCTGATGATGCAGCTCTACTCACGTGGCCGCCTCGCCGAGGAAGAAACAAAGCGGCCCTGGGCCCTCTGCTTTGCTGCTAACCCAGCTGTTGCCAGACAGGTGCGCATGCATGCATGCGTGCTTGTACGTGTGTGTGTGTGTGCTTGCAGGCGTGCTGTGTGGCTCAGCTCTCACTCAATAGTGGAGCTAGACGGCCTGCTTTCGCTCACTACAAAACGATGTGTTGTTATTGTGTGCATGTACAGGCTGGGGCGCACCTTGTGCACACGCTGATTGCGCAGCTGCAGGAGCTCTGCGCCGAGGATGAGCACGACGAGGTCTTGCTACTGCACATCTCTCTGTGTGTATGTGCGTGTGCGTGTGCGTGTGTGTGTGTCTTCGACTGTGTAAATTTTGTCGCTCCCGTTTTCTGCCCGTCTCTCACACCATGCACGCGCCATTGCTTTTGAAACCGGTTCCAGGAGCACGAGCTTCGCCTCTTGATCCAAACGATCGTTCGCTTTATTGCGCAGTACGGTGACAACCACGGCTCGGAGCGCTACGGGCTCTTTGTCGATGCCGTTTGGGACCATCTCCCCGCCATTCACGTGAGTTTGCTCTCTCTGTGCGTTGCATGCGTGTGCGTATGTGCGTGTGTGCGTATTTGTGCGTATGTGCGCGTGTGTGTGTGTGTGTGGGGGGGGGGTGCGCGTGTGTGTGCGTGTGTGCGTGTGTGCGCGTGTGTGCTCCTGGTTTGGTTGTGTTTGAAGAGCGGATCAACGCATCCAAAGCGAATCTCATTTGTTTCCTTTGCGTGTGCGTGTGCTTGTGTGCGTGCACGTGTGTGGGGGCTTGTGTCCAGTCATGGTCGACGTACGTTGATCTGTTGGAGCAGGACAACAACATTGACAAGGACGAAGACCAGGGCTTCACTGGTGCGTGTGTTTGGTTTGCCTTTTTTTTTTTTTTTTTTTTTGATGCTCGCAGATGCCTGCTCACATTTGTAGTCATGCTGCTCGCTGTCCCAACAGCACCAACCGGCGCACATACACGCACGACACGCATGCACTCACGGTTTTATCTGTACGCGCACGTTTGTCTGGGTGCATTGTGTGTGTACATTGTGGCTTGCAGACACGCGCCTTGCATCTGCGGAAGAAGTCATCTTGGCCGAGCTTCTTGTTGGCGCCATCAAGCGCGCAACAGGTTCGTGCGCTGGGACAATGCCTTGAAATCATGTGTGCGAGTGCTCTGTGTGTATGTATGTGTGTGTGTGTGTGCGTGTGTGTGAACATGTGTGTGTGTGTGTGTGTGTGTGTGTGTGTGTGTGTGTGAACATGTGTCGTGCGCGTGCATTTGCTCTTTCTCTGCGCATACAAGTGTACACAAGCTCAGCCCCCTTCTGTGGTGCTCACGCCATGCAGGTGAAGGAAACTTCCGCGACGAGAAAGTGAAGCAGAAGGAAGCCGATGCTGCGGTGCAAGACGTCACAAAGGCGTTCCTCAAGCCCCTCCCCGGTCTCTTGTCAAAGGTGCGTCGGGTCTTGTATTTGTGCGTGTGTGTGTTGTGTTTTGGACTGTGTGTGTGTTCTGTTCTGTTCTGTTCTGTCGTGTTGTCGTGTTCTGTCGTGTTGTGTGTGTGTGTTCTTTCGTGCTGTGTGTGCGTGTGTGTGTTGGTTGTGTTTTGTTTTGTTGTGTGTGTGTGACCTCGTCCTTATTTCTACTCACACAACTATCAACCGCCGTTGTTGCCACTCGTGGCCCCTCTGCCTCATTTCATACAACTGTTTTTGGTCCAGTTTGCTGCGGATGCGCCAAAGTCGCGGGCGCTGGTGCAGATCCCGCAGTACTTTGAGATGGACATGTACACACAGCATCCAGAGGTGCTCACGCGCACCCTTACCATCCTCCGAGACATTTGTCTGCTACACACAGACTCAAACCTGTTGCACGAGTGCATGTCCTCCTTCTACTTCTTCACGTCCTCCGAACTTGCGCTGGCCACGGAAGCGGTAGGCTGCTGCCACTTTGTCTGTGGGGTTGTTTGCGCATCTGCATGTGTATGTGCGAGGGCGAATGTATGCTCATGTGTATGTTCACGTGAGTGAATGCATGTTTCACGTCAGTGCGTGTTTGAATGTGCATGGGTAAGCGTATGTGTGTGTGTGTGTGCGCGCGCTCTTGTGTGCGAGGAGTTGAGTCGGCACGCGTGCTCACACCAAATGACAACTTGGACAGGAAACATTTGTGGAGCAAATCACGGATCAAGTCTGCAAGACGTTGCACACCATCATCGATATTGAAGTGCCAGAGGTTTGTTTATGAGTTTGATTGTGTCTTTGCCTGTGCTCACGTGTGTTCATGGAAGTGAGTGTGTGTGAAACAGTGTTTGTGTGCCCTTCCTTGTGCTCATGTGTGACTCAACTGTCTGCTCGCCCCCGGTTTTGGTTAGGACGATGATGAAGACGAGACCAAGAGCGAGGAAGGCTACAGGCTCACTGCGTGCATGGCCCGGCTCCGCGCATATGCAGAGTATGTCGCATTGGTAGTGTGTGTGCGTGTGCGTGTGTGCGTGTGCGTGTGTGCGTGTGTGTGTGTGTGCGTGTTGGGGGCGGGGGAGAGAAGATGAAGGTGAAAAACCTGGATGAGTGTGAAGTGTTTCCGTCAGTTTGTTGGGTGGTGGGGTGGTTGATGCGTTTGTGCGTTGATGTGGTTTCGTCTTCTTCCCCACACATTCTGGTCGTTGAACTCACGTGTCGTGTGCTTGCTTGCTCTCTTGTGCATTGTCCCGCTGTTGTGTTTTGTTCATAGATCGTATGACGTGCAGTCCCTGCGTCTCGCTGCGCCCATCGCGAAAGTGCTTGAGGCAGCCGCATCCCAGGCCGTCCTCTCCGAGGTTGGTGTGTGTGTGCGTGTGTGGTTGTGCATGTGTGTGAATATATGTGCGTGTGCTTGTGCATGTGAGTGAATATATGCGTGTGCGTGTGTGCGCGTTCTTTTGGTGCATACTGTTGTTGCGGTTGATGTACAACGGCACGTTTCTCACTGCGAATTATGCCATCCACACTATTGCAGACGCTCTGCTCCGCGCTGGACTTGTCGCTGTTTGTTCTTGCCTGTGACATTGAGCACTTGACAGACGAGGACACCCCAGATGAGGTCCGGTGTGCTTGCAGCGTGTGCGTGACAGTTTGACATGCATGCAATGCGCTCCCTTCTCTTCCTTCTCCCTCCTTGTCCTTTTATTTCTCCACCCGCTCCTCCATCTCTTCCTCGCCTCACACACATACGCAAGTTACGTTCACAATCACAATCACAATCACAATCACAATCACAATCACAATCACACACACACACAATCACGTTGACGTTCACATATGCAAATTACGTTCACGTTCGCATCCACAAACACATTTGCGTTCACAATTACACACTCATGCTCGTGCTGTTGCGGGTGTGCTAGGAGCTGCTTGTGGCCCACGTGCGCACGCGCGACCGCCTGGTGAAGGCCGCTTCCACCCTGCTGGGCATTGGCACGAAGGATGTCAAGGTTGCCGCTCTGCAGCTCATCTCGCACGTCGTGTATCTCTACGCAGCCACACCAAGCGCCCTTGCAGAGGCGACAGCGGCAACAGCGGTGACGTGGTCGTTTGTGCCCAAACCGTCCACGCAAGAGAAGGCGCTCTCCTTTGTCACCGATGTTCTCCGCGCAGGCGTGCCAACCATTCCCGAAGATGCCGACGTTGCCCAGCGCTTCAAGCAGCAAGGTACTTGTTTGCTTGTGTGCGTGCTTGTGTGGGTACGTCTGTGTGAGTCACATGTATGTGGTTGTTTTGATGCTTGTGTGTGTGTGTGTGTTTTTTTTCTTCGTGTTTGTGGCGTTCGCAGTTGTGTATGGGTTGGTTCCCAACGGCGGGCAGCTGGCTTATTCACACACACACACACACACACACTTGTGCGTTTGATGCTGAGCAGATGAGATTGAGGTTCGCAAGGACATTTTGACGTGCTTCTGCCGTCTCGTGGCCGTCAATGCCATCTCTCCAAGCAACATGGGCCCCCTTCTCCGCTTCTACCTGGAGGTGCGACTGCATGTCAAGTTGGGTTGGCAAACCATTGTCGTGTCAGGGAGTGTGTCAGTGAGTGTGTACCTGCGCATAATCTCGTCCGCTACCACCACCGCCACCACCTCTTCCTCTCTTCCTCTCTTCCTCTTCCTCATCCATCTCCACCTGCCCGTGTTCTGATACGAACAATATGGTGCTGTGGCGTTGCGCTGGTACAGGATGACGTGACGCCGTTGCTCAAGGCGACGCTGGCGTCCATCCGCACCAACGACAAGCGCGCCTACAGCCAACTTCTCATCGAGGGCCTCAAGCAGGTGTCACTTTTGCATGTGCACGCACATGTGTGACGTGTGGGCATGCGTTTGTGTGGCGTGCATGCGTTGTGCGTGTGCGAGCGTGCATGTGTGCGTGTTTGCGAAGGGCAATGAAGCCTTGATACTTTAGGTGACCCCAGTCTCCTCGTTGCGTCTCATATCAAGAACTACATGGTGTCTGCGGGTGCAGTGGTACCAAGAGGAGCAGGAGGTGACGGAAGACATGCGAGAAGTTGCCAAGCGGTTGGCATTGACGTTTGGCATCGAGCACAAGCGCTATCGCCAGGAAATTGTCAACTTGCACACGTATGTGAGGCAGTGACTGAGTGTGTGTGTACATTTGTGCATGTTACTCTGTGTGTGTGTGTGTGCGTGCGTGCGTGCGTGCGTGCGTGTTTGTGTGACTGCTTGTGAAGCTTGGTTGTGAAAGTCTGACGTCGTATCGATGGCTGTGCACATTTGCTTCCTTGCTCACGCCATTTGATTCGAATATCATCTGCCACCTCGTTCCCCGCTGGTAGTCGCGGCATCTCCTTTGCACTTGCGGCTGCAGATGAGGGAGGTGTGCCTACCAACCTTCCCTTCCTGGAAGTGGTCAAGGAGTTTACCATGAAGCTTGCTGCTCAGGTATCGTGTGAACACTTTTTCGAGCGTAGCGTATGCTCTGTACATCTACACTTCCCTTCTGTGTGTGTGTGTTTGTGTGTGGTCTTGTGTGTGTGGTCTTGTGTGTGTGCTCAAGGGGTTTATCTGCATCGAGTGCGTTTCGTTTCGTGCATTTTGCGAGGCGGTTTGTGCTCACGCGTCATTGGGTTTTGCGCTTGGTTGTGTGTGTGTTTGTCGTTTTGCAGGACAAAACAAAGCTGCGCGATTACTTGAGCAATGTTGTAGACATGCGCCAGTTGCACCCACAGGAGACAGAGGAGTGGGTGCCCTACACGTTGCTGTGCAACACGCTCTCTGGCAAACGCAACATGCCCAAGACGCCCGGCTCAAGTATGTGGTGATGGAGGTGGTTGACGGCTGTAATGGTGCTGTTCCACCCGCATGTGTTTGACATGAGGAAGCAAAGGAAGCAACTGTCCCCAACTTCACATACACACACACTCACACACTCACACACTCACACACTCACACACACACACACACACACACACACACACACACACACACACACACACACACACACACACACTGACTGATGAGCAGACCGGAAGCGGCGCACCCCGACGGCGTCGGCGAAGAAAGGATCGCGCCGTCGCCGTTCTGGCGGTGCAAAGCGGCGCGCAGCTGACGAGAGCATTGAGGATGTGGAGGACTCAAGTCAACTTGCCAACCCAGGTTTGTGTTGGTCTTTGCGTCCTTTAGTCATTCCTTGCCGTATTGTATGACTGTACGGTGTTGCAGGGTCTCTCTGGCTGGCGTGGAAGTGTAATGTGTTGACGGCTGTGTGACGTGTTTCAGTTTGTGCAACCTATCCTGCACCTACCTTGTCCCTCTGCGTCTCTCTCACTCACTCACTCACACACACACACACACACACACACACACACACACACACACACACACACACACACACACACACACACACACAGAGCTCAAGTCATATTGGGGCAACTTAAAGCAGACGCATTTGGAGGGCGCAGATGGAGATGACACAGAAGACGACTGGATTTCTCCTGTCAAGCAAGGTTCGCCACACACACACACACACACACACACACACACACACACACACACACACACACACACACACACACACACACACACACACACACACACACACCGGGTGCGCGTGACGTCCTTGCCGTGACCTGTGCGTTATGTGTTACGATGCTCACTGATATGTGCTGCTTTGGTCCTGCTGATTACATTACAGCCAAGACAACGCGTCGCCGCCCCGTTCTTGAGGAAGACCCCATTGTCGACGATGACGATGGTGATGCCATGGATGAGCATGAGGAAGACGAGCCACCCACGAAGGTACAACATCAAGGATGTGGACAGTTGATGGTGGTTTGGTTCGCTGTTGTGCTCGGGTGATTCGGTCGGTCGTTATATTCCAATGCACTTGCGCGTGCGTGCGTGCGTGCGTGCATGTGTTCTCCCCCTCTGTCCCTCTGCCTGTGCGACGCTCTCCCCAAGTCTCTCTCTTCTCTCCCTCACACCACACACACACACACACACACACACACACACACACACACACACACACACACACACACGCGCACACGCATGCACACGCACGCACACAAACACACACACACACACACACGCACGCACACACACGCACGCACACACGCTCAGCTGTCGCGGCACCGTCGTGCCAAGCGGTCGTTGATGCTGCAGATGGACTTGACAAGCAGCGGCGACGGCGATGAAGGGAGTGCAGACCCCATCGAGGACGACATGAGCGATGACGAGTAGCCGACAGCACCAGTGGCGAGCTGGGTGCTGGATACTTCGTGCTTGTTGCGTTTGGTTGTCATTTTCAGTGTGTCGTGTGTCATTTCGTGCTGCTCTGCGCTTGCACCACCACAACCCTATTTGTTTTTCTTGGAACATGATGCCGTTGTTATGTGTGCCGTTGTGTTTGTAATTGTTCGTGCGTCATCGTCGCGTGCTTTACGACTCTTTGTATCGAAGTGTTGTGAGCCTGTGTCTGGCTGTTGTTGGAATTCTGCATGTGCGCTTAAGAGTTTCATTTCGTTTCTCAGACCAAATAACAGAGAAGCTTCACGCAAACCTACATCAGGCGCACCTGTTGTTCAATAATACACACACACACACACACACACACACACACACACAAACAGCACCACAATTCAACCATGTCGACTCCTATCCTGCCCGAGTGCATCCTACTCAACACTAATAACAGGAACAGTTGCGCAACAGCAAACAACAGCAACCACACCGTGCACACGCATCCCAGCGATTCAGGTGTTGCGGCTATTCAGACGTGGCAGAGCACTTGAGGAAGGTGCGTCCTGCAAAGCGTGTGGAGGAGCCGTAGCTCCGCTTCGGGTCGGCTGCAGCCATGGTGTACTCCAGGCGCACTCGGTGCACGCCACCACCCTGCCCGCCGTTATCTTCCGCGGTCGCTGCAGCGACAGCAGCAGCAGCTGCATGTTTGGCGAGCCTGTCCATGGCGAGGGTGAGGCATTTGCTCTGGGCTTCCAGGAAGGATGGCTGCTCGTAGCTGCGTCTTGGAAGCTCCGACTTTTCGTCGGGAGTCAGCCAACGCCACACCACCACGGGGCACGCGCTGCTGCGGCGCTGTGCAACAAACGCGTTGAGCATCATGCCACCGCACGACGCATGCTCCCTGATCCACCCGGCGTGCTGCTCCCTGAGCTCAAACAGGTGCCGCTTGTGCACAACCAGCGCCCCGGGCAGCAGCAGCGACACGGCGTGCGTGCTTCGGCGAATCACGGACCACTGCTCGCTCCCCGCTGCAGTCTTGTGCTCGTGAGCGCGGGACAGGTACGACAGCCCGACAATGTTGTCGAAGAAGTGGCCCTGCCACGTGCCGCGCGCGTATGTGGCATCGGCGATGGTGAACGCTGCCTCGTCGTCATGCAAGATGGTGCAATCATGCTTGGTGCCATGCAGCGCTTGCATCAGGTCGGGCGACAGCAGGAACCACGCGTCCGCCATGCCCATGCTCCCGCCCTCGTACTTGAACAGCTGCACACGTGGCGGCAGTTTCGCGCCGAGCTCAGCCTCCAGGTCAGCGATGGTGTCAGCGGAACCAATGACCAGCACAGCCCCAGAGCGCTTCCAGTTTGTCCAGCGCCGCACCGCATCCGCATTCTCGCCAGCACTGCGTGTGTGTGCGTGGAAGAGGATGGTGCACGCATCAAACGCATCCACCTTGGAGCCCTCACACAACTCAATCGGCGATGACAGTGACGGCGATGCTGCTGCTGCTGCTGTTGATGATGACGATGATGATGACGATGATGATGACGATGATGACGGCTGCATGAGCGTGCCGGTGACTGGCACCACAGGCAACGCTGCCATGCGCGTCTGCGTCACGCGCTCTGCAAAAGCCAGCGCCACGGCCCTGTTGCGGTCGTTGTTGATGGTGGGAGACACCACAGCAGCAGCAGCTGCACCGTCATCATGCGAAGAAGAAGACAACGATGACGATGACGACGATGGTGATGGGAACGCGTTGGTGTCGAGGACGAGTGGGAGGTGCCTGTCCTCAATCGCGTGCAGGAGCAAGCGGTCTTCCAGCCGCTTCCGCGCTGCGCTTTGTGCCTTTGCACGATCGTTGACGCCAATGCCAAGCGAGTTGACGGCGAAGGAGAGGCGGTGCGGCAATCGAGGGTAGAGAAGGCGGAGGTTGTTCTCCGCCATGAAGCGAACCAATGCCTTCTTCCAGCTGGTGGTGGCGGGCCAGCGGTTGGTGAAGGAGCACGGCACAAGAAACTCGCTGTCGCTTGTTGCCGTACCACTGCTGCTCTGACTCGACTGTGCACGGTACCACTTGACAAACCGTGTCCATGCCATGCCATGATACACAGCGCCCCAGCTCTGCGGCTGCTGCCACAAGAACATGGACAGGCCAGCATCACCCTCCCCTTGTTTGTTGTTGTTGTTGTTGTTGTTGTTGTTGTTGTTGTTGTTGTTGTTGTTGTTGTTGTTGTTGTTGTTGTTGTTGTTGTTGTTGTTGCTGCTGCTGCTTGTGGTGTTGCTGTCGTGCTGCGGCAGAGCCACGTCAAACAGGAAGTCCTCCGCGGCCTCGGAGAACACCTGTGCATACAGGGAGACGCCAATGAGCCAGGGAGAGGGCGGGCTCGGGGTGTAGAACGCGCCACGAATGGCGGCCACCGTGTACACGAGTGCCCATCGCGACAGCCGCAGGTCGTCTTCAAGCATGAGGAAGAACGTGTCTGCGTGCGCCGCGGCGCCGCTTTCCAGGATGTTGGTGCGCAGCCCGGCGTGCTGGACGCGTGGGGAGACGTGCACGGGCCCAAGCTTTGAGCGCAGGCCCAGCAGCGCATCAAGGTGTTGCAGGTTGTGGTTGTCGTAGTGGATGTGGATGGTGAACGAGACGCCCGGCTGGCCAATGGCTGCTGAGGGCACGATGGCGCCGTTCAGGTCCGCCCACACCTGCTCAAACAGGTCCATGCGCTCGTACACGAACATGTGCACGGCGACGTGGATCGGCGTCTCAGCGATGGCCTTGACCAGCAGCTGGCGCGGCTGTGCGGCGAGGTACGCGTTGTTTCCCAGCGCTTCGCTGCGCAGGTCGTAAAAGGCGTTGATGCGGGCCACCACCCACGGCGGCGTGTACAGCGACGCGCTGCCGCGCGCTGGCGATGGGACGTCTGCAGGGGTGAGGTCGCGACCCGTGCGGGCGGTGGGCTGCTTCATGCCCGTGCCGAGGAAGGCGACGTATCTGTCGTTGAGCTTGTACTCGTACGGGTGGCGCACGCCTTCGTGGTAGACGAGGTTGCCCACCACCTTGCGGGACGCGCGCTTGCGCTGGGTGCTGACAAGGTCGAGGTTGATGGTGTTGTTGTAGCGCAGGGCGGTGATGCTCAGGGCGTGGCCGCCAAACACCTCCGGGGCAAACAGCTGCAGGAAGTGCGCACCCAGCGTCCACTTGCCTGTGTATCCGCCCTCGCCACGCGGGGCAAAGGGGATGAAGAAGTCTACAATGGACGCGTGGTAGACAACCATGCCGTTGTCAAACCCGCTTAGCGGCGCCACGGCATGCGCTGCGTATGCGTCTGCGATGGCCTTGACGCCTTCGAACCGGTCCAGGCCAACATCCCACGGGAATGAGGCAACCGCCGGCTGAAACGCTGCGAGCACGCACGTGAGCACCTCGGGCAACCTGGGCGTGCCAGGGCTCTTGGTGTTCTTGGCGTCGGTGTTTGCGACTGTGTTGGTGGCGATGTTGATGTTTGTGTCGGTGTTTGTGTCGGTGTCGGTGTTGGTGTCGGTGTTGGTGTTTGTGTTGTGGGGGCGTTGCTGGTGCTGCTGCTGGCAAGGCAAGGGGATTGAGGAGGTAGCCAGCTTTGACTTCCAGTTTGGGTCGAGATGAAAGACCAGGTCGTCGTCATGGGTGAAGAAGTAGTCACATGTGGCCGTGGGGAGACTGCGCAAGTGCTTGAGGCATAGGTGGATGCCGTCTGCAAACGGAAGCGAGTCGCTCTTCTTGGACCGCTGCGGGATGTGCATGTTGGCTGGCTGCTGTACGTTGGGGTTGGGGTCGGGCTCGTCCCACACATACCAGCACGATGTGAAGGCACTGTCCCACATTTGGTGCACGCGAACGGCAGCCTTGGAGGTCTCTGCATTGCCGAGGATGCATACTTTTGGTGGCATGCTTTCCAAAGGCAGCGACGACACTGCAGCCAACGCAGCGGTGCGATCGCCCATTCTGCCATCATCATCTGGCAGTGCTGAGTGCAGTCGCTGCAGCATGGCCTGTGGTGCAATGGGCAAGGGCTGTCGTTGACCTTGCTGGTGCAGTTGGCGGAGATGTTGCTGTCGTTCGAGTCGCTGCTTCCATGGCTTTGCTGCAGCTGTCTCTGATGCGTCTTCTCCTTCTCCTTCTTCTTCGTCGTTGTGGCTGTGTGTGCCAGCTGCTGTTCCTGGGGAGACTTGGAGATGAGTGTTTGCGAAGCTGGGGGTGGGGGTTGAAGGGGTGGCGACGGCGATGGTGTTCCTGGTGACGCGGCTGCCTTGGGACATGTGCTCGTGCAAGGTGAGGAAGCAGCCGCCGATGACCAGACCGCCGATGACCAGGAGCAAGCATTTCCATTGCCGGCACGCCAGCCCACCACCAGCCATTTGCGGGTTGTCGCCGCGTGGTCGTTTTGTGTGTGTGTGTGTGTGTGTGTGTGTGTGTGTGTGTGTGTGTGTGTGTGTGTGTGTGTGTGTGTGTGTGTGTGTGTGTGTGTGTGTGTGTGTGTGTGTGTGTGTGTGTGTGTGTGTGTGTGCGTGTGTCGGTTTGATGTGTGTCTTGGCGAATTGAAGGGAAGGCAGGAATGGAACGAAGTGGTGGTGGCCAGCCAGCCAGCGTTGCTTGTGTTGTCTGTGCCTTGAAGGTGGTGTTGGGCTTGCTTTTTGGCCTGGCGTGTGGGAATGTGTCATCGACTGAATTCAGTCTGCCACAAACATTCACGCCGATCATCATCATCACCATAGAGCGACATGAGCGAGCTGATCGAGGTGTGGGCACGGACGACGATGGGTGATGGCGTGGTGGACACACATGAGGAGTTGCGTGCGTGTGTGCATGTGCATGCGTGTGTTGTGCTGTGTGTTGTGTGCATGTGCGTGCGTGTGTTGTGTGTGTGTGTGTGAATGCTTTTGACGACGGAAACTCCTTTCTGATGCATGTATTTATGTATTTCGGAGACACAGAAGATGCTCCATAGTGCGCTGTTATTGGCTCACCTTGTGTTGTCATGACCATACACCTTGTCAATGCTGTTGGGGGTGGGGGATTTGATTTGATGGCTTGATCTGACCAACCTCAGACGGGTGGGCAGGTGCAGGGGCAAATGTCCCAAATGCTCACATTCCCTGCAGAGACGGCAGACTGGCTGATTGTCATGGAAGGCTACCTCGCGTCAGGTGTGTGTGTGTGTGTGTGTGTCGTGAGTGTCGTGTGTGTGTGAGTCAGGTGTGTGTGTGTGTGTGTGTGTCGTGAGTGTCGTGAGTGTCGGGTGTGTGTGTGTGTGTCGTGTGTGTCGTGAGTGTCGTGAGTGTCGTGAGTGTCGTGTGTGTGTGTGTGTGTCATGTGGGCTTGCTTGGGCTTTCCTCTTTCCTATGTGTTGGAGCGGCTCTTAAGAAGCTGGGTTGAAGGCAATCGAGAGCAGACGCATGTTGCAGCACACACAATGCGCACACGCGCGCATGATGCTCTCCTTGGCTGTTGAGGTTTCCTTCCTTCCCCTTTTCTTTCCCTTCCCCTTCGCTCTCCTCCTTGTTTTTCTGTTCCTTTCCCCCTTTTCCCATGATTGTATTCATGGTGCTGAATTGATGTATGAAATTGCGATTCGCAGGTGCGAAGAAGGTCAAGGGTCCCAAGGTCACATACTACGTGTTGAAGCAGAGCCCTGATGGGAGCAAAGCTGTGATTGAGCAGTTCTCTGGCCGAACTTTCTTGGCCACGTTCAACCTCTCTGTACGTTTTCGGTTTTGGAACCACTGAGTTGGAGCGTCGCTTCTGCGCGCGCGCGTGTGTATGTGTTTGTGTTTGTGTCTGTGCATATGTGTGTGCATATGTGCGTGTGTGTGTGTGTGTGTGTGTGTGTGTGTGTGTGTGTGTAAAGATACACATTCGTGTAGGTGTAATATGTGTGCGGTGACGACCAATGAGTCGTTGGCTGCAACAAGCTGCTGCTGTTTGTGTGGTGTGCTGTGTGCATGTCAACTTTCTCAATGCGCATTGCTGCTGACACGCACACGCGTGCAGAAAGCGTCCATTGCGCTGCCGGACAAATCGCCCACGCTCTTCTCGCTGCAGCTGGACGACTCCCTCCTCAAGCTCAAGACAGACCACCCGAAAGTGACGCAGGCGTGAGTTGTGGCGGGAAGAAAGAGGTGGAGTGAGGGGCCGCTTGACTGGGTGTTTCACCCCTCTTTGCGAGCGCAGTGTTCAGAGTGCTGGGTTGGTTCCTGGACTGCTGCGCTTTGTACGGCTTTTACAATTTCCTTGTGCAACTACAGCCCTTGCGTTGAGTCCATATGGCATGTTGACTCGCATCGTGTACATGCATCCATGCATCGCTCACACGTACGTGGTGTGTGTGTGTGTGTGTGTGTGTGTGTGTGTGTGTGTGTGTGTGTGTGTGTGTGTGTGTGTTATGTTTGGTGCGTGTATGTACGTGTGTGTGTGTGTGTGTGTGTGTGTGTGTCACCAGGTGGGTGGTGCGGCTGCAACAGGTGATCAACGCCATTCGCGAGGGCGTGAAGCTGACATCGTCGCGCCAGGCATCAAGCAGCGCCCTGCACGGCCAGCAGCCGGTGTCCCCGCCGCCCGAGCCAGAGCCGTATGGCGCCGAGACGCCCGCAGAATCAACAAATACAAGCCTAACACGAAAAGACTCGCTGAAGCTGCAGACGCAGCGCAGCAATCTCATGAGCACGTCCTTCATGAGCGACCTTGCCAGCAAGTACTCGTTCATCAACCAATGATGTGTGGGGTGTGGTGTGCATGTGCATGTGTTGTGAAGGATGTATGTGTTGTGACATGACGTGTATCCGTGTATGGTTGTAATTGGGGTATGTACACACTTGTGTGTGTGTGTGTGTGTGTGTGTGTGTGTGTGTGTGTGTGTGTGTGTGTGTGTGTGTGTGTGTGTGTGTGTGTGTGTGCTTGTGTTTGCATGCACCTCTGTGCGTGTGTGTATGAAGGAAAAGCTGTTGGATGTGTTGTCGCCTCCATATTCGTCGCCTCCCGCCTCCCCCTCCCTTCTCGCTGTTCGTGCCTGCTTCTGTGCTTCCCCCCCGTGTAAATGACAACACAAGGGCGTGGGTGTTGGTTGACTCTTGTGCCTTGTGTGTTGTGTGTGTAAATGCCCCCCCCCCCTCTCCTCGCGTTCCGCACATTGCCTGTTTGCTTGTGTGTTGTTTGCTCTTTGCTTGTCGTTGTTGTTGTTTCTAGCTTCACTCTCCCTCTTGTTAATTCGTTCACAATGAAAACCACACGGTGAATGGACAAGTGTTTGCAATGCGCACTGCGTGTGTGGTGTTCTGTTGGTGTTGCGGCAAACAACTGAAACGCACATCGCCAGACGCTTCACGACGTTCCAGCCACACACACGCACACACACACACTCTCTCTCTCTATCTATCCATCCATCTCTCTCTCTCCCCTTCTCTTTCATGGTTGACATGCTGTTACGTGTGGAGATGTATTGGCGTCGGTTGACAACAACGAGCAATCAACAAGCAAAGTGCAGCTGCAGCCATGGGGGGCAATGCCAGCTGGTGCGCTTAGTCGAAGAGGCCTGCAGAGGAGGTGATGGTGGTGTAAGAGGTGAGCGTGACGCATGACGGCACGGTGGGGCAATCGCATAAATATACAAGACGCAGCAGCAGCAGTCAAACGACGAAGAGGACAACAACAACAACAACAACAACAACAACAACAACAACAACAACAACAACAACAACAACAACAACCAAACGTACTGAAGCCATCCATGTCGTCGTCGCTCTCCTCCTCAGGCTCGGGCTCGGGCTCGTCCTTCTTCTCCTCGGCACCGCCGGTGGCGGCAGCAGGGGCGGCCACGATAAAGGCGGAAGGATCGGCAAGGAAGGCCTTGGCCTTCTCGGCAAGCGGGAAGGAGATTTCCGTGGCGACGGCAACGGCAAGAACGTTCTTGTAGCCGTTGGCGACCATGTGGGGCACGGAGGCGGCGTTGGGGAGACCGCAGGCGAGGGAGACGGCGGCAACGTTGGCGGCACCGAGCATGAGCTTGCCAATGATGTCCTCCTCGGTGATGTCCATGACAGACGGGGAGTAGGTGGAGCCGTTGTCGTACACCTGGACGGGCAGGAGACCGTACGAGAAGGGGGAGATGCCAAGCATGTTGAGCAGGGCAGCCTCGGAGGGGCCGACGCGGTCGTCCTTCTGCAGGAGCTTGACGTCGTTGACAATCTCAATGGCACCACGGGCAATCTTGGTCTGGATGTTGAGGGCCTGGAAGAAGGAGGTCTTCTGGGCATCGAGACCGGTGGGACCCTTGGGGACGACGACCTCATCGGGGGCGATGGCGCCAACACGGGCAGGGGCGGCAACCTTGAAGTTCAGGAGGAGGTCGCGGATGCCGGCAAGGTCATCGTGGGTGAAGATGAAGCCAACGTTGCCCTTGATGTGGGGAAGAAGCCTGCATGACAAGACAAGAAAAAAACAAGAAGGGGTTGGGGGCGTTCGGAAGGGCAACAGAGTGAGTGTGAGTGTGAGTGTGAGTGTGTGTGTGTGTGTGTGTGTGTGTGTGTGTGTGAGGAGCAGTTTGGGGAGGGGTGTAACAATGGAGACACAGCAACAACACAGGAAAAAGCACAGGCGTTGGGGGTGGGGGTGGTAATAGCAGCAGCGCTGTGGCGCGGCACACAATGAGCAGCGACGGCAGCAGCATATAGGGACGTACTCGGCGTAGGCAGTGTTCTCGGTCTGCATGATGGCGCGGCGCATCATGGTGTTCTTGCCAAAGAGAATCTCGCAAGAGCCACGCAGGGCCAGACGGATGTTCTGGAGCTGCTTGGAGCCGACATTGTCGCAGTTGACAATGAGGATCTTGGGGTACTCAGCCAAGAAGGACTTGAGCTTGGCGAAGTAGTTCTTCTTCCAGGTGGCACGATCGACCTTGACCATTTTGACGGTTGATGATCCGGTTCCTCAAACAGGACTTAGCGAACGTGCTGTGTGTGCGTGCATGAATGTGTGTGTGTGTTTGTGTGTGTGCATGAGAGTGTGTGTGTGTGAGTGAGGACAACGAAACAGACGAAGATGCCATGTGGGTATGTGCTGAAGCGCACGTCGCAGGTCTGCCGCATGAACACGATCAACACACAGACACACACAGACACACACAGACACACACAAACACACCTCCCCGCCTCCCCTTTCTCATTCACTCGCGCGCTCCCTCGCTCACCACAGAGGCTTGATGAGAGAGGGAGACAGTGGGGATGGCTTGCGAGAGCGAAAAAGGCACAACTACCACCACCGCCGCAGCCACATGGACCCCCCACGCACAAGAACATAACAATTTTTCCAGGCAGAGTTACCGATGTGGAATTATGGCTTGAGATGTTGGTGAAATTTCTTAGTTGAAGATATACGCCAATCGCCAGGAAAGCGAGCGAAAGGGTGGAGGAAGAGGAACACACAACATACACACACAAACACCACAAGAAGCCAGCACCAGCTCCATATCCGCTCATCACACCACAACAAGCACAAGCACACCACTTGACTGCCATCATGTCGATTGAGGAGAGGTTCAACAAGGCCGTGTGGCTGATCCGCAACGGGCCCCCAAAGGATTCCGACAACGACACCAAGCTTGGTTACTACAAGGTGTGTGTGTGTGTAATGACTTGTGTTCGCGTTTGTGTTTGTGGTCTTGTGTTTGAGGTTGTGTTTGTGGTCTTGTGTATGAGCTTGTGTTTGTTTATGTATTTGTGTTTGCGTTCTGTGGGAGCGAGGGAGGGGAACAAAAGAGACGCGACCACACACACACACACACACACACACACACACACACACACACACACACACACACACACACTCACACTCACACACACACACACACACACTCACTCACTCACTCACACACTCACACTCACACTCACACAAACACACACAAACAAACAAACACACACACACTCTCTCTCACACCCACACTTACACTTACACTCAAACACTCACACACACTCACACACACACTTACACTCACACACTCACACACACACACACTCTCTCTCTCCTTTCGCACATCGCAGTACTTCAAGCAGGCCACCGTCGGTGACAACACCACCTCCAAGCCATGGGCTGTGCAGCTGGAAGCCTCTGCCAAGTGGAACGCCTGGGACTCTGTGAAGGGTGCGTTGTGAGGAACCTTGGGGAAGTGGAACCAAGTTGGGTTGAAGAGAGCGGTTTTGTTTGTTTTGTGACCACAACGTTTGTTGCCTTTTCAAACACCCACAACCACATACCCTCACACAACATAAACACATACACCCTTACGCGTACACGTAGGCATGTCCAAGGAGGATGCCATGAAGGCTTACGTTGACCTGCTGACCAAGAGCGACCCCGACTGGGAGAGCCACCCCAAGCTCGCCGAGTACAAGCCCTGAAGCACATGAAGCGCAGCTGAACTTTGCTCCACTAGTCACTTCCTCAACTCTGGCGTTTCTCACAACCCCATTCACGGCGTGGCACCGCTGTGCGCCAATTGCATTGCCTTGCACCGCGCCTTCCTGTCTGTCTCAAGTGGTCTTTGCTTTGCTCTGTGCTGTGTGGTCGCTCCTTCTTCCCACTTCTCTCCACCACTCTTGCTCAGTTACGTTCCCCTCATGAACGACTATTAGCTGTCTGCTGTTTGTTGTGTCAGTGCTGTCAAGCGCCATCAGTACAACTCGCAGTGTAACGCGCGCCACTCTGAAATAACACGTGGACAGGCGCACAGGCTGTCCATGCCGGTCTGTCTGGGTTATGAACAAGAACACAAGAACCCCCCGCACGAAGCTTAAACGGTGTTGGGGGAAAGTGGTGGGGATGATGTGTGGGGTGCAGCGCGAATGGCATGTCCGCCTCCTGCTCATCGTCGTCGTCATCGCCATCGTCATCATCGACATTATTACGAGTGACCCATCATGGGCTGGGGGTGCGGGTCGAGGGCCGGCTCAGGCACGTGATGTGTCGTCAGCAGCACAATCATCACCCACAGGTGCAACAGAATCTGGTCAGAAGGTGCGGCAGGGTGGCGTTGTCAATCGGAGTGGTGAGACCACGTAAGGGCGAAGAGAGGGGGGGGGGGGAACAAAGGATGAGGAGGGGAAGAAGACGGAGCAGCGGAGGGGACACACACACGCACACATGTGCAGGCGATCGCACCATGTAGATGATGACGAGGATACGTGCGGCTGGGTAGCGACGAAGGAACACGCCAAGGCGTATGCTGGCAAGCAACGCCGCAAACAGGAGGAGCGATGGAGACATGGGGTGTTAATGGAGAAACCACAAGGTCATGTGTGAGCGATGGTGGTCGTGACGACGGAGAAGTGTGCATGTGTGTGTGTGTGTGTGTGCGTGTGCGCGCGCTTGTGTTGAAGGCACCTGATAGCGTCGAGGGCGTTTGCGGCCGTCTTGAAGCGGCGGTCAAGCGGAGTTGTGCCCGTGGCAACACCTGGTGGGATGATGGGCTGCAGCTGCATCGCTGCTCAGCGGTGGTTGGGAGGGCACCGACAACGGAGGCGTGAGCACCAGGAGAGGAATCACGCGTGTGACGTGAACACAAAGGCTGCGAGGTGATGAATTTGCACTGTACAAATTTCAATCGGGTTATACACACCACTTACATACATACATACATACATGCATACATACATACATGCATACATGCATACATACACGTACGCATGCACATACACACACCACATATGGCCTTACATTCGTCCCAGACAGTTGCTCTCTGTCGATGACGTGATTTGCGAAGCGCCTCCTCCTTCTGCTCAAGCCAACACGCCAGTGAACGTACATGTGCAAGTCCATGTGCGCGGGCTTGTGAGGGTTGAGACAATGGCTCATAGGAAGCGCAGCGCCGTATGGCTACGGTACATGAAGCCAACCAATGAAACACACAAAACCACACAACCAATGAAACACACTAAACCACACAACCAATGAAATGCACGCAACCACACAACCAATGAAATGCACGCAACCACACAACCAATCAACCGTCACACAGCCAAAGCAACCATCACACAAGCAACGCACAGCCGTAGCCCGACCCAAGTAACCAACACATGCACGCACCAGCTTGCGTTCCTGTTCGAGCTGGACGGAGAGTTGTGTGTTTCGCTCACGCAATTTTGCCATCTCCTCCTGTTTTCGCAGAAGAACGGCAGACATGTCCTCGGTGCGCTGTTGTGGCGACGACGGTGACCCAGACACGCGCTGCTGCTGCTGCTGCTGTTGTTGTTGCTGCTGCTTGCTCAGTTCACTCTGTCATGGTTGTTTGGGGAGGAAGGGGAGGGCAGGCAGTTGTGAGCGAGGAGAGAGCAGATGCTGCGCGAGTAACGCGGCGCAGTTGCGTGGAGGAAGGGGATAAAGTGAGGGCTGGAACAGCGCTGCGGCAGCACCGAGCACACGGACAACGGAGCAATGCGTTGCCGTGCAAGAACCCAAACTGAAAACACCGATTCACCTGCTGCTTGAGAGTGTCAAGGTCATGCTGCACACGATGCACCTCCAGCTGCAGCGACCGCTTGGTCTCTATTGCCTCATCGCGCACGCGTGTCAATTCCTGTGCGCGTTGTGTGTGTGTGTGTGTAGTGTGTGTAGTGTGTGTTTGTGTATGTGTGTGTGTGGTGTGTGTGTGTGTGTGTGTGTGTGTGTGTGTGTGTGTCGTTGAGCATGATGGTGGGAGGTGAAGCAAACTGAGACCATGCGCGCAATGACGCACCAGCTGCGCCCAACTCCCCCCCCCCCCCAACACCCTACAACCCCCCACCCCACCACCAACAGCCGTTACAACAGCGGTTACATGAGAGCCGCCCCACCTTGATGCGGGCCATATAGTCGGCCTCTGTGCTGTGCAGGGTGGACTGCAGCTCGTCAATCGTTGCGCGCAGGTGTTCTGTCTCGGCAACGAAGTCGTCTGTGTCCTGCTGGTGTTGCTCCTCCAACTCCTGTGGGGGAGGGGGAGTGATTGAAGTGGAGGGAAAAGGTTGAGAATAGCATTGCCGGCAACGTGAGGTCACATCCACGGTTACGCAGGAAAGGGTGTAAGCACGACACACACAGACGCACACAGACAGACGCACACACAGACAGACAGACACACACACACACAGACACACACACACACACAGACACAGACACACACACACACACACGCACAGCGTGTACGTACTTCAATCTGTGTGCGCAGGGCATCGTTTTCTGTGTTTGCGGCGTGCAGTTGCTGTTGCAGGTTGGCCACTTTGGAGCGACCATCGTTGTCGCCATCCACGCCACCCGCACCGCCACCATCACCACCGGCGCTGTTGCCGTTGGTTTGCTGTGAGCGCACGTTGGTGCCTGAGCGTAGTTGCTGAATGAGGGCCTCTTTGCTCTGCACAAGGAAATCGTGAAGCGTGGCACACGGGCGAAACTAGTGAATCACATGCACGGAGAGGGAAAGGCGGGACGGAAGAGGAGGGGAGACGGGAAGGGGATGGAAGTAAAAGAGAGGGAGAAAGGAGACGGAAGAAAGGAGAGGGGAGAGAGGGAGAGTGTGTGCGTGCGTGCGTGTGTTTGTGCTTGTGTGTGGTGGGGATTGGCAGACACATGCACACACACATGTTCATGCACACACACAGACACAGACACACGCGCGCGCGCACCGCTAGAATGCCTTTGGCCTTGTGCTTGTAGTCTGCATATTCGCGTTCCATGGCCTGAAGCGCGCGCTGCAACTGCTCTCCACGCTGCGCGTGCTCGTTTGTTCTCGCTGTACATGCAGCCGTGCACAGTGGAGAGCAGAGGAGAAGAGGGGGGGGGGGGTTAGGATGGAAGCAGTTGATTTGCGAAACATGAGAATCGTGTTTGTGGTACCGCTTGGATGACATAAAATGCACACACACACACACACACACACACACACACACACACACACACACAAACGAACAAACACACACACGAACAAACAAACAAACAAACACACACACACACACCTTGGCTGGTGTGTAGTTGCTGGGTGAGCGAAGACACCTTTGCTTCCAGGTCTGCGTGCGCTGCTTCGAGCTGCAAGCACCTGGCCTCTTCCTCCGCGGCTTGGCGGCGTAGGTCGGCCGAGTGCTGGCCTTTGGACAGCTGCAACTGTTTGAGCTCTTCCTGCAGATCGCGGATCTGCTGCATGTGCTTGTCCGTGCTGCCTGCATGGCTTGTCATGAGCGTCTCGTTCTCGCGCTGCAACAGGGCGAGGCGGGCCTCCAAGTCCTTGTTCTCCTCCCTGCACGCGGTGAGCGCGGTGCTCATCTCGTGCTTCTCCGTGGCCAGCCGATGCCGCGTCTGCCGCTCGTCGCTCAGCTGCCGCTCTGCCCTTGACAGCTGGTTCTGGGTGTCTGCGACGGCGTCCTGTGAGGCCTTGAGGCGGGAGGCGAAGGACGCCACCTCGTCCTCCAGCGAGGCAATCTCCTGTCGCAGCGCGCTGTTCTCGCGCCGCAAGCGAGCCGCCGAATCTGTCCCGTTGCCTGCCTGCAGGGCAGGGGCTGTGGCCGAAGCTGCCTTTCCCGAGAGCAGCGACGCTGCCCGCTTTGGCAACGAGAAACTCAGCCTTCCTCCACCGTCTCGTTGTTGTTGTTGTTGTTGTTGTTGTTGTTGTTGTTGTTGTTGTTGTTGTTGTTGTTGTTGTTGTTGTTGTTGTTGTTGTTGTTGTTGGTGGTGGTGGTGGTGGTGGGAGTCATGGCCATTGCGTTGAAGTGTGTCGTTGTGCTGCTTCGTATGTTTTGCTCCTTCCACTTCATCCCGTGCATCATCGCCCGCGCCCTCGTCGTCGCTTCCGTCGTCGTCCCCACCTTTGGCATCATCATCATCATCATCATCATCATCATCGTCGTCGTCGTCGTCGTCACGGTCACTTTTAGCGTGTCGCTCTGCGGAGAGCCGGTGTGGGTGGTTGCGGCGAGAGTGGTCGGATGGGCTGCCGTTCGACAGCGCGAGCTGGGGAGTGTTCGCTGCAGTGCCGCTGTTCGCAGCGTCAGCTTGGCTGAGAGTGTGTGGGGTCGAATCCTCGGGCGCGCCGTCCAGCAGTGCATTGTTGCTGTTGGCTGATGTTGGACCATCAAGATCCAGTCTGGTGTCTTCGTCATCATTGTGCAAGTCAGCGGCGGCGGTGGTGGAGCTTGGGATGACAGCGGCCAAGCCAAGCTGCCGGCGCCTTCGATTGCGCTCCTTCAAGTTGGTTGCCGCAAGCTGATCTGCCTGTTCCAACACGGACACCGCCGTGTCGCGGAACTCTGCAAACCAATTCGACATGCCAGTGGTGGTGCGTGTGTGTGGTGGTGGTGGGAGTGCGTGTTGTCGGTTGAAGCAAGCGAAGCAAAAAAAAAAAAAAAAGGCATTTGCATTGATATGTATAATTTTTCGCGGTATGCATCAAGCCGAGCTCCTATGGCGCAGTTGGTAGCGCATGTGACTTTTACGCACAAATTTACATCTCCAAGTACGGGGTCATCATAGGGTCGCGGGTTCGAGTCCCGCTGGGAGCTGGTGCGGCTTAATAGTTCTTTTTGTTTTGTTGTGTTGACGTGAGTGAGTGCGAGAGTGCGAGAGTGAGTGGGTGCGTGTGTGAGTGTGAGTGAGTGTGTGTGTGAGAGAGTGTGTGTGTGCGTGAGTGCGTGAGAAGGACAGAGAGAGATGTGAGTGAGAGACAGTGTGTGACATAAACGCTGTGAGTGCGAGAGAGACAGTGTGTGAGTGTGTGAGAAAGAGATAGAGAGGAGTTGTGAGTGAGAGACAGTGTGTGACAGTAACACTGTGAGTGTGATCTCTGGCAATCGCTTGTCCTGTGCTTACATTTATGTTATTTACGCTTGCTTGCAGTCAATTAAATACACAGCAACTCAGGCACGGCATGTCGCAGGCAACCGTCGCGGTCCTGACGGTTAGCTGTGGGTGATGGCATGGCGGAGAGCGTGTCGAAAAGTGAGGGAGACGCGCTGCTTGCGCGGGACTGGAACCCCTTGCACCAAATCTGTTTTGCGGGCTGGGATGCAGTGGGTCCACCTGTACCGCGCTTCTCCTCGTACCACCAACAGTGATCTCGCCGGCAAGTGCAGCTCCACCGCACGCGGAATGTTGAGTTGTTGTTGTTGTTGTTGTTGTTGTGGTTGTTGTTGTTGTTGTGGTTGTTGTTGCTGTTGTTGTTGTTGTTGTTGCTGTTGTTGTTGTTGTTGTTGTGGTTGTTGTTGTTGTTGTGGTTGTTGTTGTTGTTGCTGCTGCTGGTGCCGCCGCTGCTGCACTGCTCGTGGTTTTCCATGTTGCACTGCTTGTTGCCTTTCCTGCTCCTTTGCGTGCTCCTCTGCTTGTTGTCTCCCCTGTCGATTGCAATGCTTCTGGTGTGCTGGCTCATTTCCTCCTCGCGCCGATGCACCCTCTTTCATCAACTGAAACCCATATCCACGGGACAACCGCGCCGGGTTTAGGTGTTGCTGCTTCTGGTCTACGCGGCTTTCCCGCGGCTCCTCGCCCGCCTGCTTCAGATGTTGCCATTCATCGACCCTTGCCACGTGATTTGCGTCTGCGTCGCCACCCTCGTGCCCGCTACCACGACCACCACGACCACCACGACCACCACGACCACCACGCCCAGGGCCATCGTCATGTGCACTGGTGTCTGCGTCTGCGGCGTCAACGCCAGGAGCTGTTGGATCAACGGGCTTGAAGGTCATGGCGATGCCGCTGCATAGGCTGAGGATGAAGATGGTGGAGCCAAACGCCCACGGCGCGTCGACGTGCGGTGGAATGCCCTCGCCAGGCGAATAGTAGTTGACGGTGAGCTGGTCAATGGGCTCGCAATCACGCTCGTGGCGGCTGCTGTCCTGAGGGCGTTTGCACAGCCGACTCGGGTCGTCTCCCTGCTGTCCATCGCTGTGAACATCCGTGTTGCTGCGGCAACGTCCATGATGATCACCGCCACTATCACCACGGCTACCGTCACCACAACGGCTACTGTCACCATCCCCGCCATCGCTACCATCACCACGGCTACCGTCACCACAACGGCTACTGTCACCATCCCCGCCATCGCTACCATCACCACGGCTACCGTCACCACAACGGCTACTGTCACCATCCCCGCCATCGCTACCATCACCAGCGCCACTGTCACTATCACCCAGCTGCTGCGCTGCGAGCTGCATGCGGCGGAGGACGCCCGCCATGCGTTGCGGAATTGGCGGCACGGCCTGATCGGAGACGGTGAAGGTGTCGTAGTCGAAAAAATGGCCAAAGTGCTGAACGCGCCGCATCTTCAGCCGTGTCACGCCGCACGGCTCAGCTGCCTTGACACAGTCGAGCAGCGCCTGCTCTTCCTCTTCCGACACAAACGCCGTATACAGGGCCAAGCCCGGCGGAAGCTTCTGCTGCTGTTGCTGTTGTTGCGTGAGGTGCTGGTGCGCAAGGGCCGTGTGCTGCTGGGAGCTGTGGTCGCGCGGGTGTTGGAGTGGCACGGCACCCAACTGTGGTACGGCTATATCCCGGGCTCGCAGGACGGCTGGATGCGTGGGCTGAGCAAACCGAGCAAACACGCGGCGCTGCAGCGTCTTGCACATGCGCTCATCGAGCTGTTGTCTGGCCTCACCTGTCATGGGTGGATGTTGGTGTGAGCACAAACACCAGCAGCCAAGTGGCTGCAATCAAAAAGTGCATCCTACGCAACACAAACACTCACAAAAATACACGCACACATACACACAAAATAAAACACACACACACACACACACAAACACACACACACAAAAAAGAGAGAACACACACACACATATACACAAACATGTACACACACGCACACACAAAAGAAAACACACACACATACACAAAAGAAAAACACACACACACACACACACATACACAAACACAAACACACACACACCCTCTCTACCAACGCAAACAAGCAATGACGCAACACGTACGGGCTGCTTGGTGGGAGCGCATAAATACAAAGCACTGGGCCCGCGCTGGAGGCAGTGCGACGGCAGCAACGTCGGTGGCCTCGCCTTGGAGGCCCTCCTCGCCTTGAAACAAGGCAAGCACCTGCGCTGGGGTGTGCCCAAAGGCTCGGGCCACGTTTGCCAGCAAGAGCACGCACGAGGCTGCTTCTTTGTCTGCATGAAGTATTTCCTCGCACCGTTCCAACAGGGCAAGTGCTCGCGCATCTTTCCTTCGCTGCTTCAGCGTCGGCGCCATGGATGAGGAGGGGTCAAGCACCGGGAGGTGTGTTGTTGCGCTGGCTGGTGCTGCTGTTGTGCACCTCGACTGCAGTCTTGTTGTCGTTTGTCGTCGTCGTTCTCTGTCTCCCACCCAACTTTTGCCAATTGCAACAGTGACTTCTGTACAATTTGCAACAGATACCAACGTGTCGAGTCAGCACAAATGGCGAGGAAGGTTCGCGTGCATTGCTTGCGCGCCTCTTTGTCATGGGCGCACGCTGATTTGTGTGTGATTTGCACCAAATTTCCTGCCGACACAACTTGGGCCCGTACCACACGACCCGTTTCTGGACCCGTTTCTGGCCCAGAAACGCGAATGTTGCGAAAGATGCGACCACGTGCTCGCTGTCGACAACACAAACTCCCGCACAATCCCCATGAAAAAAAAAGTGCTTGCTGGGCTTGTGTCTGGCCTGTGTGCGTGGCGTGGCCGCGTGTGGCTTCGTTCTTGCTTCTGCTCACTCAGCCTGTTACACGCAGAGTGGCTGCGAGAAACAAGGAGAGGGGTTTGCGGCATTGGCGCATGTGCATCTGCCTTTTTCATTGAGTCAGTCTGCAGCTCAAGAGGTTGGTTTCGTCGACGGATATGAGTGAGCTTCTATGGATGATGAGAGGTGGTGGTGGTTGTATGGTTGGTGGTTGGTGGTTGGTGCAAGGCGAGCCACGCGAAGAGCGACAAGGATGAGGGAGAGGAGAGGAGACTAGGAAAGAGGTGAAGGGAAGGGAAGGGCGAGCAATGACGACGAGATAAAAGACAGCCACCACCGCACCCGCACAAAAGCATTGCTCGCACGCATGGTCGTGTGTTATGTTTCACACCACCAACATAACCAATACAAGCCATCACCAATACAAGCCAGCGCTCAAGCACACACGCACGCACGCACACACAATACACACGCACGTGAAACGTTCACATTGTCCGCTCACAAATGCCTTTCCCTTCTCGTCGCTTTCCTTGCCTTTTTTTCTTCCCCTCCTGACTTCCTTCCTGCCTTCCTTCCTTCCTCCCCTTCTCCGTCCACCAACACCATTTATTTCTCTGCTCTTTTTCCTCGTGCCACGTGAGCAGTCTTTTCGCGTCGTCTTCTTCTTTGACCCCGTTTACCGTCAACACCATCAACAACCAGCAACATGTCTGAGGGCAAGCAGCACGTTTCCATTGTCATCTGCGGCCACGTCGATGCCGGCAAGTCGACCACGACCGGCCGTCTCATCTTCGAGCTCGGCGGCATCCCCGAGCGTGAGATGGAGAAGCTCAAGGCCGAGGCCGACGCTCTCGGCAAGGGCTCCTTCGCCTTTGCCTTCTACATGGACCGCCAGAAGGAGGAGCGCGAGCGTGGTGTGACCATTGCCTGCACCACCAAGGAGTTCTTCACGGAGTCCAAGCACTACACCGTCATTGACGCCCCTGGCCATCGTGACTTCATCAAGAACATGATCACCGGTGCCTCCCAGGCCGATGTCGCCCTCCTCATGGTTCCCTCCGACGGTAACTTCACCGCCGCCATTGCCAAGGGCAACCACAAGGCCGGTGTCGTCCAGGGCCAGACCCGCCAGCACGCCGTCCTCATCAACCTTCTCGGCGTCAAGCAGCTCATTGTTGGCGTCAACAAGATGGACTGCGACGTTGCCAAGTACTCCAAGGAGCGCTACGAGGAGATCCGCGACGAGATGCGCCACATGCTCATCAAGTCTGGCTGGAAGAAGGCCTTTGTCATGGAGTCTGTCCCCGTGCTCCCCATCTCCGGCTGGATGGGCGACAACCTCATCACCAAGTCCAAGAACATGGACTGGTGGAAGGGCGTCGACGTCAAGGTTGAGGGCGAGACCCTCCACCTCGAGACGCTCAAGGAGGCTCTTGAGAAGATGGTCCGCGTCCCCCAGCGCGCCACGGACAAGCCCATGCGCACCCCCATCTCCGGTGTCTTCAAGATCAAGGGTGTCGGTGATGTCCTCACCGGCCGCGTCGAGCAGGGTACCGTCAAGCCCGGCGACGAGGTTGTCTTCCTCCCCACCCACACTGAGGCCAACCCCTGCACTGGCAAGATCTTCACCGTCGAGATGCACCACAAGTCTGTCGAGGCTGCCGCCACTGGCGACAACGTTGGCCTCAACGTCAAGGGTCTGGACAAGAAGAACATGCCCCGCGTCGGTGATGTCATGATCCTCAAGTCTGACAACTCCCTCGGCAAGTGCAAGAGCTTCCACGCCCAGGTCCAGGTCATGAACCACCCTGGTGAGCTCAAGGCCGGCTACTGCCCCATCGCCTTTGTCCGCACATCCCGCTCTGCCGTCCGCATGGCCGAGATTTGCTGGAAGATTGGCAAGGAGACCGGTGGCTCCAAGGCCGAGAACCCCGCCAACCTCAAGGCCAACGAGGTCGCCGAGGTCAAGTTCGAGCCCCAGCAGCCTTTCGTCGTCGACACCTTCAAGTCCTGCGAGGGTCTTGGCCGCATTGCCATCATGGAGGGTAACACTGTCGTCATGCTCGGCAAGGTCACCAAGATGGAGCGCGCATGAGAGCTCCCCCCAGCATTATCACGTCTACTGTGTGTATGTTGTCGCTCTCTGTTTGACCTCTCTCTTGTCTACTATGTTGCCTCTCTCTCTTTCTTGATTGCACCCCTTTCCTCGCTACGACTACTACGACTTCCGCTACCTTGACTTTGTTGGCTTGTTGCCACCTTTTGGTCTTGCGTTTCGTCTGCTCGTCACTCTTGTCTCTTTTTGACGACTTGTGTGTGATGACGGCGTGAGGCTGTGACTGACTGACTCTCAACAACTTCCAATAAAAACCCCTACATCGCACGTGACTGACTGCACATTTAGTGAAGGGAAGGAAAAGAAGTGAGGTGTTTTCATGTACATGAGGCTTGTCGTTGCGTGTGTGTGTGTGTATTTGGTGGTCCAGACACATGGGACATGGCATGGAGAAGCAGAAAAGAACACGGCGTAAAAGCGACACAGAAAAGTCAGAAGAAGTGGGGAGAGACAACACAGAGAAAGGCAACGAGTGCGTGACAACAACAGCAAACAACCAGCCAGGTGCTGCTCGCTTAGAGGGCCCACACAGTCTTGAGGCCCTCCGAAATGCCAACGTCGTGCGCGTTGAAGTACAGCAGGCCGCCAAGCTGTGGTAAGGGGGGGGGGGAGTGGAGGTGAGTAGAGAAAGAAGGGATGGTGGTGGGCGAGCGTGAACAAAAGCAGGACTGTAGAACTGTGGACCGTGTGGCGAAGCAAGCGCTCACTGCACTGCCCTCAACTACAGTACACCGCAGGACACTGCACTGCGCTACATGACACAAATACACGACACAGTGTCACACACACACGCATACGCACACGCATACGCACACGCACACACACACACACACACACACACAGACACACAGACACACATACACACAACATTGAACGTACCGCGCCAACGTGCACAACGGCGTTGAGGAACTTGGCAAGAGGCTTGGTCATGGCACCGTGCACGTAATCCGTAAACACACAGTCCATGCCCCTGTCACACATTGGTTCAGATGCAGCGAGTTTGATGGGTGAGGGAGCGGGAAGCGAGACAATTCGATGGAGGCTCAATACAGCACATACAAACAGGCAGGCACACAGACAGGTAGACAAACGGACAAGACACCGTCTCCGCCCCCTTTCCATACCCATACCCGTACCCATACACACACTCACACTCCCACACTCTCTCACACTCCCACACACAGTCTCCGCTCCCTTCCCCCCCCCCCCACACACCCACACACACACACACCCGTTTGTTTCGCCCTCGCTCACATGGTTTCCACGTACATGTATGTGTGCAGGGGCATGGTGACGGCCAGGCTGTAGTCGACAAAGGGGCCAGGTGCAACAAAGGCCGCGGGGACCAGACCAACAAGCGCAACGCTCACAACACGCTCAAGCTTCCAGTGGCCAAGACCCGTCGTGTCTTGTGTTCAAACAAAAAACAAAATCCAGCATCAAACAAACAACACACGCACCAAAAAGCAAGCCACAGGTGAGTGAGCAGGCAATGCAGGCAATGCAGGCAATGCAGTCAATGCAGTCAATCCAACCTCCAAAGAGACAGCAGAACGAGGTGGGGAGGGGAGGGGGAGATGTATACCATGCACAGCAGCAAATGCATGTAATGCACACATGCACATGGTGGCAGTACCGGATGTGGACTTGGTGGCAACGGCGTTACGAGGCGCGGAAGTGTGGAGAGCTAGTACATTGGAGAGGATACCCAAGACAACAACAATACACATGAGTGCCACTCAGGCACGCCATACGAATACGAGCATGCATTCAACAACAACATGAACAGACACAGACATAGACACAGACACAACGTACAGGAGACGCGGGAGAGGAGAGGAGCAGTGGCAGGGCGGCAGAGGTGGAGCAGGTTCTGCGGGCGGGCTGCCGCGAAAGAGAGAACTGTCAAAGCCCAAACACACACACACACACATGTACAGACGCAGAAGGGTGCACGGTGAGAAGAAACCATGGTCGTGCATTGACTTGCCCATCACCGCGTGTTTCCTTCTATGCTTTCTTTTGCAGCTCAACCGTCTCACACACACAAGGATTCACGCATTCACGTGCACACACACACACACACACACACACACACACACACACACACACACACACACACACACACACACACACACACACACACACACACACACACACACACACACACACACACACACACACACGTACCGCGAAGGCTGGCCATCATGGTGGTGTGCTTCTTGCTGTGGCTGTGCTTTCGGTTGGTTGCTTGCTTCACTTGTGAGAGTGCGCCTGGTGCATTTTTTTTTCCTCTGTGAAGCGATTGTTAGCAACATCTTGCGAGAACTATCGTCAACCATGGCTCTTCGAGGTGCGTTGATGAAAGCCACAAGAGGAAAGAGGCTGATGTTGTTGATTGGCAATGCGTGCCTGTATGTGTGTGTGCGTGTGTGTGCGTGTGGGTGTGTGTGTGTGCATGTGTGTGTGTGTGTTCATGGGTGTGCTTGTGCATGTGCATGTGTGTGTGTGTGAGTTTGCGTGGTTGCATGGGCATGCCGATGGCACGCTGTAGTTGGAGCACTCGCACTCGCACGCGCTTGCCTTTGTCACTACCTGTACGCCAGCCAACTCACACACACATACACACACACACACACACACATGCACAAGCACAGTTGTCTTCTCCGGCTGCCGCGCCTTGCCCCGCATCCAGTACGTTGTGTTTGAGCCTTGTCTGTGGCCCCATGTCTCCTCTGGTATTCCGCCCGGCTTCCTTGGACACACACACACTTCCGTAGGAACAGGTAAAAGGAAACTGTGGGAACCTTAACATTTGGGAGTAGATGGAAGGTAGCTATATGGAGAGAGGGTTGTGTAAACGAGAAAATGCCCGGGGTAAAGGAAAACGACAGGGACGGTCTACTGTTGTCAGTTCACGGAGGGAGCGAATTGAAGACCATTTCGGTGTGCTTTGAGAGAAAGATGGAAAGATCGGTGATGTGGTGGGATAAGGGCGGATGCGGCCCA